CATCATCCTCATTGTCGACATACCTGGACCAGATCCGCCGACACTTCCCCATATCTGGCTATTCCCTGATAAAGCCTGTGACGTTTGCCGCCATTCTGATGCATGTTCACTCGCTTTCGGACGCCAAACCCTCACTGCTCCGTCGCCCAAGTTTTCATGCGGGGACCCCGGCGCGGGTGCGGTGCCGGCCTGCCGGGGACTGGAAACAAAGGGAAAGCGCCCGCGGTTTCTTACCCGGAGTCTGGACCTTGGCAAATACTTTCTTGAAAAAGGGTTCCTCTTCTCACACACGAATACATCTATACATCTATGTGCATATGCATACGTATTGGTCATACGTGTGTTACTTGTCGCTCTGTTGGCACTCGCTCGCCTCTCCGCGCTCGTGGCGGTCGATGGCGCTCACCGTAGGGGAGAAGTAGCTCGCCTGCGCAATCGACGACGGGTACCAAGGAGTACTCGCCTGGACCTTTAACACGGATCCGAAGAGAAAAAACATCATTTGCAAAGGGGTCGTCTTTTTCGGAGGCATGATGGACACTTGGGGTCTATTGTGCAACCACCTACCTTTAGGGTCTTGAGTACAATCTGAGTCTGCAACCCCCCCCCCCCCCGCAAATACATGATTTCCGCTATGTTCACAAGGCATTCCTCTACAAATCTTGATTACACCCCCAAACCGGGGTCCCTCAAAAGGAGATTCCGTTTCCAACAATGATGCATGTTTGGGTTCAATACATGTTTCGTCAAGCTGAAGGCAGGTTGCAAAGCGGTCTGCTAACAAAAATCCATGGCAAACAAAGTCCATGGCAAGCGATCCTAAAGAGGCATGTCTCCACTTTTGCGCTCAACAAATACCCAAAGCTTGGACGTGAAAGCCAAAGTGAACTCCAAAATGACTGACGCCAAATGAGACATGTACAAATTCTGCATGCGGGCATTCCCTCACAAGGACTCCGTATGGTGGTTGTCGAAATTCCGTACTGTATGTTGGGGGCAGGCAACCCTCCCTTGCATTCCAGGTAAGCACCATGGTACACATGTCAGTGAAGAAGTTCTACCAGTCAACTGTCAGAGTTTGCGAGCACCTCTTGGTTGGCCTCTTGCGCCAACTTGCGCCAACTTGCGCCGTTCCTCGAGAAGAAGTCCTTGTTCAACAAGCCCTGCTCCCTTTTAAACGGATCGACCCATAAAGACCAACATGCGCCTGCCAATGCTGCAAAACCATTCCCTGACTCATGCAAAAGAACCTACAAACACCTCGCCCCAAACCATGGTAAACCTCATCTTGGTCACTGCTCAAGCGCTACCCTTTCACCTGAATTACCCCCATGCCAATGTTGATCAAACAAAACACGGGCTCCCTCGCAAGTTGCTTCACAGGAACTTCTTAGAGGGAACCCTTCAAGTTGGGGGGAACACCAAAAGGACACCCTGGCAGAACGTGAAACACTTGGAACCGACACGAATCCGCCAGGCAAACTCCTTGGCACCGCCGGACCTAAAGTCGGAGACCTTCCTGGGCGTTGCCCCACTTTGCGTCGCAAGGAGGCCGGGGATTGATTTTGGGTAAGGCGCAATTTCGCAATTTGAGGGGAAGGAAACATCTGGAGCATGCACCGAAGCAACACGATTCACCAAATGTAAAGCGAGGTCCTTGATTATTGACGCTGACCCAAATATCTGGAGGTAATGATGTGCAAGTAATGCTCAATGTTGGGCCAGTTGCAGAAACTACTTCAATTCAAATAATATCCTCTGGGTAAACTTTGCTGGATGCTCGGGCAGTTCTATCAATGTTGGGCCAGTTGCAGAAACTACTTCAATTCAAATAATATCCTCTGGGTAAACTTTGCTGGATGCTCGGGCAGTTCTACAGTTCTACTGCTGCGGAATACGCAGGACAGCTGGCCAGCTTAGTTTGCTGTTATCTTGGGCTCTGCCTGAATTGGATTGAAGTGGGCTGGAGTTGCGGGTCTCCCATTTAGGGGCCCTGGTGAGGTCACGACACTCCACCCGCATTGGGGCATTGTCATGGTGAGCTTCCCGGGAATACGTATCGTGACGTATTGAGGGGCACCCTTACCAACATGGCACGTATGATTTTCATAGTGGAGTCCCTGTTTAGTCAACCCAAACCTGGTTGCTGGCCTCCCTTCTACCTTTGGCGTGTGGCGCCGAAAAAGCCAGTCTTGAGCGGGTAGTGTTTGCGAGCCCACCCTTGGTGTAGGCTCCAGGAATTTCAACACGCCCAAGCGCCTGAACATGCGATCCAAGTAATTTGTTATGACCGCCAGCTCTAACACTTCGTGGTGTCACGCTGTTGCGCTGTGGATCAGGCCGATCTGCCAGGTAGCACAAACCAGCATGCACCGTCACCACCCACCGAGCTTGACATATTAAATTAGCTACCTTGTAACACCAAGCCCTCAAAAACAAATATATCACATCCAACGAGGCTGGCCACAACAACACTCCACCCAGTGACAGCCCCCTTCCACCCCCCCGCCCCCCCGCCCCACTTCTCCCACTGGTGGATGGCGAGCAGCTGCCTGGACTTGAGGTTTGTGGGCATCTGCTTCCTGCCCGGCCCTTCGCCCAGCATCCGCGCCCCAGGCGTCATCGCCATCTTCCTGGAAGCGGTTGGGACAAGCGTCCAAGGAGGTGGAACGTGGTTTGACCAGAGTCTGAACGTTTGCAGTTGCGCGCGCGTCATTGTATCTCACGCCGAAACATTGCGCCGTTGTAAGGAACCACAACCCGATGGACTTAGAGTGCATCTCATGACCCGGAACCTAAAAAGTCAATACCCCTGCATGGGTTCTAACAAACGGCTTCTAGGAACCCGCTTATTTTTGAGCCCAACAAGGGTCTGACTACTCACCACCGTCAACGGCGGCAAAACGCCCAAGCGCAAAAAACGCGTGTCGCCGCGGCGCCTGAACTGCTGCAGCGTCATCCCCGAGGTCTGCCAGAAGTCGCGCACTGCCTTGCCGCACTCCGCCAGTAGGCCAAGCGCCTGGCGCCAGCCGCCCAAATGGAACCAACCAGAGAAATGGCCCCTTTGCTTCTCCTTTTCCGACACTGCTCGCTTCACATGCAAAAATCCCTTCCATGGTGGAGGCGTGGGGTGTGTGAGAGAGATTGAGAGCGCTGTGGCTCTTGTGAATTAATCCAGTTGGTCTGCTATCCTCAGATCCGAACCGCCATCTGCCGGCGACTGCAAGCATGCAGTGCTCCAAGCACCTCTGACAAGCAAAACAGCATAGTGGCAAGTAGATAATGAACAACAAGCACACCTTTTTTGCAACATGATAAGTTCTTAAGGCTTGGTGCGAGATCGAAGTCCAGTAGGTCTCGCTCGCTGAACGAAAAGGCCCTGCGTGGCTGTGGTGACCTGCCATCTGCACATCGGGCACTGCCGCAGGTCGTGGCTCCTGCGACACGTGCCGCAGACCATGTGGCACCAGCACCACCACGGGCCGCGTCTCCATGCAGATCGGGCAGCTGCCAACATGGCCGTAGGTCGCAGCCTGGGCCTCCGCGGCAGCGGGGGGCGAGGTCGAAGCTTGGCCCCACTGTGGCAGAGATCTCAGTGAAAAAGGAATGTCGCAGAGATCTCAGATCCACCCAAGCAGCCCAGTCGCCCACCTGCCTGGGCGCCCAAGTTCCGTAGGCTCTGCGCCACCTCCCGAGTTCCGGCATCACGGCCGTAATATGCCTAGTGGGGGATGTCTCGTTGGAAATGCATCGAAGCGCTGGCGTGACCTGCATCGGCACGTCTCTCACACACTTGCTGGAACTTCGCCACAAAGTCCCCGGTGAACTGCTGAAGTGCAGCCATCTCCCGTGCCCTCTGCGCCTCCTGCTCGACCCTCTGCCTCTCCTGCGCAGCCTGCATTCTATCCCTCAGCTGCCCAAAGAAGGATATGGCGCGGTCAGGCGGCTCAGCAGCGGAACGTCGGAAAAGGCGGCGGCTTGGAACCCGATCTCTGAGCTGAAGCAGCTCACAAACCACCCTGTCGGCTTCGTCCCCCACTTCACCGGCGGGGATCCCTCCTGCTGTGCCTCAGTTCTACAGTTGCATCCACAAGTCTGCCCAAACGAAGAAACCTGGCTGCAGCCCTCCCGAAAACAGAGCTCCCCAGCCGTTGGCCCCTGCCTGGAGGGCCATGTTGAGCTCGGGACCCTCCTGTAAAAAGAGGCGGAGCCTCTGAGTTGGGCGTAAGGGATGCACGCTTTGGGTGGGAGGGGTGGGCCTTAAGGACTGGACGTGTCACACCGGCTCAGCAGCTCGCTCCTTTCTGCACATGTCCAAATGACTCTTATGACTTTGAGGGCATCCAAGTGTGAGTCCTAGAGCCCCCGCTCTCAACTCTAAGAGAGGCAAAACCTAGAACTGAAAATTCCGAGAATCTCATCATTTTTGGCGGCGAGAACCAAGTCCACAAATGTCCGTGTCCCCCAAAAGCTTCAAGCTATAGAAAGGATAGATACCACAGATCCCTCTGATCCCTCTCACCTTGGCCAAGGGCAAGGTCTCCACAAAGTGCCCCGGCGGCAGGTCCCGGGGATCTGCCTACGGGCCAAGGGACAGGATCAGCCGCGAGTTGTATGGATGAAACAACACACAGACATCACAGAAACACACGCAAACAAAGAACACGTACAGGACAGACGGACGGATGGACGTCGGAAAGTCAGGCAGACAGACAAACAGACAAACAAAAAAAGCAAACTGGGTCAATGGGTGCTTTTATGGTTGATTGATCATCCATACCATTTTGTTGTGTCTTAAATAGCTCCTACAACAAGTCAGATTTGCTTTTTCCTGCTGTAAGGACTGGAGGGGAAGCAGGCAACCGATAAAATTCGAACAAAAGTGGTAGCGCCCGTCGCCGGCAAACGAGGATGTGCTTGCAGCACAGTTGATCAGGACCCTTGAAGCATGGGTTGTTCTTGCCATACAACGGCTCCAGGATGCGCCTGTCCCCGCAGGCCTCTCTCCAACCCTGGCTTCTTGTGTAGGCGCATGAGCCCTGTTCCAGTAACCAGACTGTCTCTCGGTCTGAAATTCGTTTTTTGTGAGGTTCGAATCTTTTTGATTTTGGGGTTGAACATGGATGGATGGATGGAATGGATGGATGGATGGATGGATGGATGGATGGATGGATGGATGGATGGATGGATGGATGGATGGATGGATGGATGGATGGATGGATTCCATTCATCATTCAGCAGTGCCTTCTAGTGTGTCATGATTACTGACATGTCTGTCAGACCCAAACCTCACTGATCGCAGGCAGTCAGCCTTACCTCTGAGGGTCAGACATCGAAGACGTCCAAGAAGTCTCCAGAGCTCTGGGCGCTCTCCCAGAACTGTCCGTAGAACTCCGCCTGAAGGCGCGTGCGAAGCGAGCGGAGAGGACCCAAGCTGCCGAGCTGGAAGTTGGCTTGTGCTTGCAGGTGCACTTCCCGGTTGCCCGGGTAGGACATCGGGGACCAAGAACCTTGAGGAGATTTAGGGGACGTAAAGCTGCGAACCCTGGCAACAGCTACTGGGCGCTGAGAAACCACACGAATGAACCTCTCATGCCAAAGTCCAATAGAGATGCGAGCATGGCAACCAAAGTATGGCTGGCTCACTCGTTCTCTTGCCCATCGTGAGCAAACATGATGACAGAAATGCAAGGTCCAAAACGGGTGCTCATCGAGGAAATTAGGTCACCACATGTTGCACGAAATAGATCATACCCTTAAAGCGAAGAGAACAACTGCCAATTTCTTCAACTTGAAACCCACAAGGACGAACCAAGCCACCAGGATTTAAGCTACTGCGGCGCCATTGGGCTAGAGAGAGAGTCGAGCAGCCCATTCGCCTCCTGTTCCAGCAGTCGCCGCCTCTCCTCCTCCGGAGACATGGAGGCGCCCTCGGAAGGCTGCGAAGGACGGCCGGTGGAGCCCCGTTTAGCTGAGATTGCTCTTCGGGCTCTCTTAGAAAGCCATCTCAAAGGGGGCATGTTCCAAAGTGTGGCGCCCTGGGCGCCCCACGGATTGGGTGTGGGTCAAAAACTTGGTGGCAGCTGTACCTGGAGTCGACATTGCGACAATCCTCAGCTGCCTGCAAACTGCACAATCAAACACACCCAAAGTCATCTCAGGTCGGAAAGCGACAACATGTATTTCTGCTGTCGAACAACCATACAGCACAAATATCATGAACCAGCAGCCGCAAATAGAAGCGCGCCTGGATTTAAAGCTTCAAAGCAGCAGATTCGAGCTTCACAAATGCTCGGGCACGATCTACCAGCGAGTCAGACCGCCTCGTCTCGCTCTCGGTTCTCGCGGTCTGCCAGGGGCCGGCATCACTACTGTGCAGCGCATGTTGTGCATGGAAGCTAAGGCTCGAACCACACACACACACACACGCACACACACAAACACAAACCCACCCACCCACCCACCCACCCACCCACCCACCCACCCACCCACCCACCCACCCACCCACCCACCCACCCACCCACCCACCCCCCCACCCACCCACCCACCCACCCACCCACCCACCCACCCACCCACCCACCCATAGCACAGCACGCAAAACCGCACCGCACCGCAACTGCTCACCGCCAAACGGACAAACGCACCGCAACCCACGCACACAGAACGCATCACGCAAGCACGCACAGCACGACACCCAACGCCACTGGCACCCACGCACTCACCCAAAACGCACGCACACACCACAGCACCCACGCACGCACGCACGCATGGACGCACCGCACAGCACGCAGCACACCACAAATACAAACTAAAAGCCCAAGTACGACAACACCCACACCATACAAACATCACAGTACACGCACGCACGCAACACGCACGCACCACCAACGCATCAGCAAAGGCCACGCACTGCACATGCAACCACACAATGCACACACGCACGCACCCACGCACCCACACACGCACGCACGCACGCACGCACGCACGCACGCACGCACGCACGCACGCACGCACGCACGCACGCACGCACGCACGCACGCACGCACGCACGCACGCACGCACGCACGCACGCACGCACGCACGCACTCACCCACGCACGCACGCACGCACGCACGCACGCACGCACGCACGCACGCACGCACGCACGCACGCACGCACGCACGCACGCACGCACGCAGCACGCACGCACGCACGCACGCACGCACGCACGCACGCACGCACGCACGCACGCACGCACGCATTCACGCACGCACGCACGCACGCACGCACGCACGCACGCACGCACGCACGCACGCACGCACGCACGCACGCACGCACGCACGCACGCACGCACGCACCCACACACGCACGCACGCACGCACGCACGCACGCACGCACGCACGCACGCACGCACGCACGCACGCACACCCACCGACAAAATGAGCGAAGCCCCGTGAACAATGATTCCCTTTAGAAAAGACCCTTCTGAGATTGCATGTCTGTACGAGCATGATTCGTCCATCACCTGTAAAACTAGTTGACTTTCGAGCACCTCTCCTCCCTATGGTGCCTTCATGCCTTCCAATGTATTTCTATTTCCAACCGGTTTTTACATATTTGCCACACGTTTCTCCGCCTGTGTGGCTACGCCCGGCTTCCAACCGGCTTCCACTTGGCTTCCACTTGGCTTCCATGGCCCGCCTCCAAGGCGCTGGAGGAGAGGCCCCGCAGGCACTGGAAGTCCAGCAGCGCTTTGGTGACCCGCGCCACCTGCTCCTCTCAAGGCGCCGAGGCGAAACTGTCTCGAGAGCAGCGATTGGCGAAGGGAAAGGGAAACCTGGCATTGGAATTTCAGAACACAAGGCGAAAATGCGTTGGTCTTGCAAGGGCAACGGAAAGGAAGCCAAACCTGCAGGGGATCTCTTCAAAAAAGAATGCACACAGGTCTTTAGGTGTCCAACCGTTTCAGCATCACCCCAAAAGACAATTCATTTCAAAATAGCCCACAAGGTGATGCTTACATCACCCACCAAAAAATGTGAGGACCTTGATGCAGTTGCAAGGAGAGGGGGTCCAGGCTTACCCAAGACGAAGCTTGAGGCTACCAAAGCAAGCCTAAGTTTACCTGGGTCCCGCTTTGGTCCACCCCCCCCCCGATACCTACTCATGAGAGACATGGGCCTGCTGCAATTAACACGAGTTGGATTGGTTTCCCTTCAAGCACGAAACATTAACTAGGAGGGTTCCCAGATTTCACATCCCTGTCCCCTTAAACCATCATTGTTGGACAGCAACCTGCGTAGAACTGATCTGTGAACTTGGCAGCCCGCGTGTGTCCTTCTTGTACTTTGGTGACTGTGACTCATGTAGTCCCCAGCAGATGGTGAGTGAATATGACTCGACCAACTGGACCCCGACTCAGCGCCGGGCGCCCTGCACCTCCACGGACCAAACGTTTCTCTCCGCCTGGTAGCGGTGTGCAGAAGCGGCACTTTGGTCGCAAGGAGGGGAGATGGGGTCGTCTGAAAATCAGAGACCGCAACATGGAAAGGAGCTGGCTGGTTTGTAAGGCAGGCATATGAGTACTTCAGAAATGGGTCCCGGCCCGGGTCTGTCTTGAATAGGTGAGCCCAAGAAGACAGTTGGTTTGGCTTTGGTTTCCCTTTATATAAAGCACCCCAAATATGGTGACTGTTTTTTCCCCACCCGACAGGAAGGGGTTGTTAGATTTGAAGTAGACTCCACGCTTGCGATGCTGCTACACCACACCCTCCTGCCAGAGAGGATCCCGCCAGAGAGGATGCCAGTGGATCCCGCCCAGTATCCCGCCAGAGAGGATGCCAGTGGATCCCGCCCAGTATCCCGCCAGAGAGGATGCCAGTGGACCCGCCCAGATACCCGCCAGAAAGGATTCCAGTGGAAATTCCCGCCCAGTAATCCCGCCAGAGAGGATGCCAGTGGATCCCGCCCAGTATCCCGCCAGAGAGGATGCCAGTGGATCCCGCCCAGTATCCCGCCAGAGAGGATGTGAGTGGATCCCGCCCAGTATCCCGCCAGAGAGGATGCCAGTGGATCCCGCCCAGTATCCCGCCAGAGAGGATGCCAGTGGATCCCGCCCAGTATCCCGCCAGAGAGGATGCCAGTGGATCCCGCCCAGTATCCCGCCAGAGAGGATGCCAGTGGATCCCGCCCAGTATCCCGCCAGAGAGAATGCCAGTGGATCCCGCCCAGTATCCCGCCAGAGAGGATGCCAGTGGATCCCGCCCAGTATCCCGCCAGAGAGGATGCCAGTGGATCCCGCCCAGTATCCCGCCAGAGAGGATGCCAGTGGATCCCGCCCAGTATCCCGCCAGAGAGTATCCCGCCAGAAAGGATGCCAGTGGATCCCGCCCAGTATCCCGCCAGAGAGGATGCCAGTGGATCCCGCCCAGTATCCCGCCAGAGTGGTCCGCCAGTGGATCCCGTCCAGTATCCCGCCAGAGGAGTCCGGCAGTGGATCCCGCGCCAAGCAATTCCGCCAGTGGATCCCGTCCAGTATCCCGCCAGGGTCCGGCAGTGGATCCCGCCCAGCATCCCGCCAAGCAATTGCGGCAGTGGATCCCGCCCAGTATCCCACCAGAGGAGTCCGGCAGTGGATCCCGCCCACTGTCCCGCCAAGCAATTCCGCCAGTGGATCCCGCCCGGTATCCCGCCAGATTGGTCCGCCAGTGGATTCCGCCCAGTATCCCGCCAAACAATTCCGCCAGCGGATTCCGCCCAGTATCCTGCCAGAGGAGTCCGCCAGTCTTGCCCAGTATCCCGCCCAGTATCCCGCCAGAGGGGTCCGCCACTGGATCCCGCCCAGAGTGCTGCCAGTGGATCCTGCCCAGTATCCTGCTCCGGATGCAGATGCTTCGCTGGCTGAGGCATTTTGTGTTTATTTGGAGAGCCTGTCCAAGATGCTGTTTGTTGTATGTTCTTGCTTGTTTAAGAGAAGCCTGCGGTGGATATCGAAGCACATGTTGAAATCCAATCTGGCCAAATTTATAGCGAGCTTACCGGCCCCATGCGCGCCCCAAACCCCGAATTACGAGGTGGTTTCCGAAATCAGGATTTTTTTCAAAACAAAAAATAAAAAAAGAACAAAAAAAGAAATAAATACAAAAAAAAAAAAAAAAATAAAAAAAAAAAAAAAAAAAAACAAAAAAACAAACCCAAAAAAAAAAAAAAAAAAAAAATGTGTGTTTGTGTATCGGCGCACCGCTGCTATCGCCGACAACAATCTTCGATACTACCACGCCAAGTGTGGCCAGGTGCGCCACGCAGGGGGGGCCGGGCCAAGTTTTGGCCAAGTTTTGGAAACATGTGAGGAAAGGTGAAGAGAGAAGAGACGGCCACCGGTTAACTCTCTTATATATGTTGTTTTTGCCTAGGGAGGTCATCTTTTGGACAAGGAAATGTGGTAGCTAAGAAGGGGCCTCTTTTTGGGATGTTTTGAGGTACCCTGCAACAATAAACAAACAAATTCCAGGGGACGTGTTCGCAAATGCAAGATATTGCCTGGGGAGGTCACCTTTTACAGCTGCTGCAGCGGGTAAACTCCCTCACCCTATAGCTAGCACACGTTCTTTAAGGGTATCCCCTGATGAAGGTTTCCCGGCCCAAAAACAAATATTCTAACTGAGGTCCCCGTGGTGTTCATGTATATTTTGGGCTCAGTACCCTTTTGGCAGGGGGTAAGGAAGACCACCCCTTTTTATGCATTGTACTTGGAGGGCTTCGTGCTGCGTGTGAACCCGGGATTGAGGAAACCCACCAACATTGGAATTTGGATACGGGGGGGACTCACGACTACGAATGAGCTTGAGAACCTTGTGCTATGCGGGGTGCGGCCAGGTCGTACGAGCTCGTGGTGGCCACGTCGGTCTTGCCACAATGCTGGCGCGAGCATATTGCTCACGATGTTATCGTTTTTTTCGGCTCAGAAAGAAAGAGGCATTGGGTCAAGAGAAGCCAGCGGCAATTAAATGCTCAACAGATTTGTTTGCCTCCAAGAAAGTCGAAGCACAATTGTTTCAGTTAACAGCTAAGAAGCCAGGAACCAGCAAGCGCTGGTGGCAAGCACTGGCCAAACCAAAAAAAAACACCGCACCTGGTAACCCAAATTGAAGGTAGCTGGCAGTCCCGATGTGGGTAAAGGGCATGACTGAACCAAAAGGGAGGAATTGCACAATCTACCTTCACCCAATTGGTGTTTAAGTTGGTGTTTATAAATGGTACAACAAAAAGGGCCTTCAACCCAACTGTATGTGTTTGTTGTCCAAGGCAAACTATGCCAAGGTAAAGAATGCAGTTCGGCCAGCCGCAGAATCAGCAACAAATGCTTGAGCATGCTTCTGGCAGCATGGCTCCTCTGCCGCTGCCCATCACAAATGCGGCAGGCCACATGCCATGCCAGGTCGTGCCATGCCAGAAGCTTGATTCTGACACAAGTTCCTATACCCCCATCTTCACCCAACCCCAGGAATGTGCCCGAATTGGGTTGGTTTTCCCGTGGTTTCCCTTTCAACCAAAGTTGAAAAGGGTAAACTTGCCTTGAAAGACACCAACTTAAGTTCTCCAGGGCATTCTCCTTGCGGAGTCTTGAAGTGCTGTAGCAAGCAGTCAGCAGTTGTGGATGTGCTTTGCACAGTGAGGCATCAAATTCAGAAGCTCCAATGCACTTGCGTGTTGGCGGAACATTAAGCCAAAACCAGAAGATCATATTGCGGAGCCGAAGCACGAGCAAACATGGGCACGAACAGTACAAAGGCACACTGGCAGATTGGAAAGCGCTCTTTCTCAGAAGGCTTCGTACTGCACTTTGTGAGCCAATCCTCGCCGAAGGCAGTCAGCAGACCTGCGCTCCTGGCCTGAGCCGCGCTCTTTGGGAGCAGGCCTGGTGCCTAGGGCGTTCTCCAGGGCATTCTCCTTGCGCAGTCTTGAAGTGCTGTAGCAAGCAGTCAGCAGTTGTGGATGTGCTTTGCATAGTCTAGCTTTGCAGCTTTGCGTTTGTGTTTGGACCAGGGGCCGCGGCAAGCTCAAGCTTTGAATAGGCAGTGCAGAAGTGTGTTGCCTTCGGCGTATGGCGTGTAAAGAGAAGTTTACCGTTGAGATCCAGAAGTTAGCAGTGAAGGGTGGCAGGCTCAAAGAGAAGTTGGTTGTCCGAGTTGTGCTTGGGTACAAGGAAGTCTTGCGGACCAAGGAGAAGGCCGTAGCTGTCGTGGTGGACAATGACAACTTTCAGTCAGTGCTTCTTGTGGAAGCATGGTCAGTTGTAGACACTGCAGCCCTGAGCAAAGAGGTGATTTCCCGAGTCGGGAAGGTGATCTCCATTGAGAACGCAAAGGTGGCATCCAAAGGAAAGTCTTTGACGTGGCATACTCGCAGCTTGAAGGTGTCCTTCGATGTTCACACCGTTGTGAAGGAGGTGGAGGATAGCGGCAAGCTACCCAAGGTCTTGCCCACAATTGCCCTTGGAGACATTTCTATGCTCACTAACACCTGCTTGGTGTCGGTGATTGCGGCCATCCACAAGGCTGGCTGACAGAGCCAGAAGTCTCCCCTGGCATGAAGAAGCCTGTGACAAACCTGAGGATTTCCTTGCATGACAAGGCTATGTCTGCAGCATTCTGGGGACCAGAGCTTGCCAGTTGCATGAGCGGCGCTTCAGTTGGCGAAGTGTACCGCATTGACTGGATCATGGCAGTGCCAGAGGGTGTCAACAATGTGAAGCTCTCTTCCACCACTGGAACCTCGGTGCGCAAGCTCGAGGGTGCGGAGGCAGACACCGTGCGGACGGGCCTGGCTGCATGCCCGACCAGTATGTCGGCTGTTTATCGCAAGAGCAGGCAGGAGAAGCTCGATGAGGAGGTTTCCAGGGCGAACCTCTCGCTCGTGGAGCACATGGCAAAGGCGGACGTGCAGCAGGACGCATAGGGCACGGTCATGGTTCCTGGCTGCTTTGTGCGGGATGTGCATGGGATTTCCGCAGAGTCAGGCGTGGCATTCTACAAGGGCTGCTCTCGGTGCCGCAAGATGCTGACCGCTTACCACGGCGGAACCCGCCTGGAGTGCGAAAAGCATGGAGAAGATGCTGGACAGCCTGTGTACTGCGTGCAGGTCAGCCTTCAGGAGCTCTTTTGGCGTCAAGTTAGTGTGACTCACGTGGACACGTTTGTTTCTTTAACTAGTTAACTAGTCGTGCTTGTTTGAGCTGAACGGCTGTCAGTCGCCACGCGCAGGATCCCCTGCAAGCGCTGGAGTGCACATTGTGGGAGGACGCGCTGCGGGCTCTGTCTAGCCACTACGGCCTGGATGACTTGGATGCTCCCAGCTTCTTGCAGGACCTCATGGCCCACGCTGCGGGGGTCGAACATGTTGCGCGGTTTGCTGTGGGGCTTGGCCGTGGAGGAGATCAGCAGGTGGATCTCTTCGACCTTGCGCCTGCCATTACTGCGGACGGAGTGTGCGGCTTGTACAAGAACACGGGCATCAACATGTTTAGCAGCAGCCCCGGATTGCCATGTGTCTGCTGCTCGATGTTGTCGCGGGACAAGGTTGGGCAGATGATTGCCAGCCACAATGGCAAGGCCAAGGTCATTGATCAGGCTTGCGTGGTCTTCAAGGCAGAGAGCGACGCGGATGCCAAAGTTCCAGCCGGAATAGACGGCTTGGAGGTGACCATCAAAGCCAGCTGCGCAGCCTGCCTGGAAAAGATCACATTGCAGCAGGCTGGCGCACCTGAAACGGTGCGGGTTGCTCTCCGCATGCGCAAGGGCGAGTGCGGCAAGGCCCTGGTGGAGTGTCAGGCTGATGGCTCGCAGCCTTTTCAGATCCACGCAGTCAAGGAGGTTGCAGCGGAGCTCTACTGCAAGGCGTTCAAGTACACAGCCGACCAATACAAGGGACACCTGGAGCAAAGTGTGGCTGTTGAGGCCTGCAAGGATCATCAAGCAGAGGTGGCGTCTTTGTTGACGGACACGCGCCCTGCCAAGCGCTTGAGGATGAACAAGACCATGGACGGGGACCAGCTTTGAGAGGCCGAGGCAATTGCCGAAGACAAGCCTTGAGCTCATTCTCGTGACTGCAGAAGACTCTGCCCGCGAGCGGGCATTGCCGCAAAAAGGCACATCTTTGCATTGCCCTGCATTTGCCGTGCGTTCCTTTGCATTGCATTGCATTTGCCAAAGCAGTCAGGGTTGAAAGCGTATTTGGCACTGCGCTTTGTGAGCCTCGCCGAAGGTTTTCGGCAGACTTGGCTGAGCGGCATGTTGCTGGGAGCAGGCCTGGGGCCTAGGGCGTTCTCCAGGGCATTCTCCTTGCGGAGTCTTGAAGTGCTGTAGCAAGCAGTCAGCAGTTGTGGATGTGCTTTGCACAGTGAGGCATCAAATTCAGAGGCGTCCAATTGCACTTGCCGTTTGGCGGGACATTAAGCAAAACCAGAAGATCATACTGCGGAGCCGAAGCACGAGCATTTATGGGCACGAGCAGCACAAAGGCACACTGGCAGATTGGAAAGCGCTCTTTCTCAATAGGTTTTGCACTGCACTTTGTGAGCCAATCCTCGCCGCAGGCAGTCAGCAGACCTGCGCTCCTGGCCTGAGCCGAGCGCTCTTTGGCTGAGCGGCATGTTTTTGCTGGGATAAGCAGGCTTGGGTGCCAGGGCTTCTATCTTGCAGGGCATTCGTCCTTGCAGAGTCATGAGTGCTGTAGCAAGCAGACAGCAGTTGTGATGTTGCTTTGCAAACAGTGAGGCATCTAATTCCAGAGGTCTCCAATTTGCAGCTTGCTGTTTGGCGGAACATTAACAAAACCAAAAAGATCATATTGCGGAGCCGAAGCACGAGCAAACATGGGCACGAACAGTACAAAGGCACACTGGCAGATTGGAAAGCGCTCTTTCTCAATAGGTTTAGCACTGCACTTTGTGAGCCAATCCTCGCCGAAGGCAGTCAGCAGACCTGCGCTCCTGGCCTGAGCCGCGCTCTTTGGCCGAAGGCAGTCAGCAGACCTGCGCTCCTGGCCTGAGCCGCGCTCTTTGGCTGAGCGGCATGTTGCTGGGAGCAGGCTTGGTGCCTAGGGCGTTCTCCAGGGCATTCACCTTGCGGAGTCTTGAAGTGCTGTAGCAAGCAGTCAGCAGTTGTGGATGTGCTTTGCACAGTGAGGCATCAAATTCAGAGGCGTCCACTTGCACTTGCTGTCTGGCGGGACATTAAGCAAAACCAGAAGATCATACTGCGGAGCCGAAGCACGAGCAAACATGGGCACGAACAGTACAAAGGCACACTGGCAGATTGGAAAGCACTCTTTCTCAATAGGCTTCGTACTGCACTTTGTGAGCCAATCCTCGCCGAAGGCAGTCAGCAGACCTGCGCTCCTGGCCTGAGCCGCGCTCTTTGGCTGAGCGGCATGTTGCTGGGAGCAGGCTTGGTGCCTAGGGCGCAGTCTTGAAGTGCTGTAGCAAGCAGTCAGCAGTTGTGGATGCGCTTTGCATAGTGGCATCAAATTCAGAGGCGTCCAATTGCACTTGCTGTTAGGGCGGGACATTAAACAAAACCAGAAGATCATACTGCGGAGCCGAAGCACGAGCAAACATGGGCACGAGCAGTACAAAGGCACACTGGCAAATCAGAAAGCGCTCTTCTCAATAGGCTTCGTACTGCACTTTGTGAGCCAATCCGCGCCGAAGGCAGTCAGCAGACCAGCGCTCCTGGCCTGAGCCGCGCTCTTTGGCTGAGCGGCATGTTGCTGGGAGCAGGCCTGGTGCCTAGGGCGTTCTCCAGGGCAATCTCCTTGCGGAGTCTTGAAGTGCTGTAGCAAGCAGTCAGCAGTTGTGGATGTGCTTTGCACAGTGAGGCATCAAATTCAGAGGCGTCCAGTTGCGCTTGCTGTTTGGCGGGACATTAAGCAAAACCAAAAGATCATACTGCGGAGCCGAAGCACGAGCATTCATGGGCACGAGCGGCACAAAGGCACACTGGCAGATTGGAAAGCGCTCTTTCTCAATAGGTTTCGCACTGCACTTTGTGAGCCAATCCTCGCCGAAGGCAGTCAGCAGACCTGCGCTCCTGGCCTGAGCCGCGCTCTTTGGCTGAGCGGCGTGTTGCTGGGAGCAGGCTTGGTGCCTAGGGCGTTCTCCAGGGCATTCTCCTTGCGGAGTCTTGAAGTGCTGTAGCAAGCAGTCAGCAGTTGTGGATGTGCTTTGCACAGTGAGGCATCAAATTCAGAGGCGCTCAATTGCACATTAAGCAAAACCAGAAGATCATACTGCGGAGCCGAAGCACGAGCATTCATGGGCACGAGCAGCACAAAGGCACACTGGCAGATTGGAAAGCGCTCTTTCTCAATAGGTTTTGCACTGCACTTTGCGACCCAATCCTCGCCGAAGGCAGTCAGCAGACCTGCGCTCCTGGCCTGAGCCGCGCTCTTTGGCTGAGCGGCATGTTGCTGGGAGCAGGCCTGGGAGCCGATGCTTTCTCTTTGCAGAGTGTTGCAATGCTATAGCCAGCAGTGAGCGACGAGTGCAACGTCCACATGGCACAGCGCGCATGCACCTGCAAGTTTGTGGCGCATGTCCTTGGTCGTGCTCGTTTTGGCTCTGGCAAAACCAGAAGTCCACACGGTGGCTTAGGCGATTTGTCCGTGCCGATGAAGCGCTTTAATTGGGCCACAGAGATGGAGTGCTGCTTCACGCCGCATAATCCGAAGAGAGCCAAAACACAAGCATTCAAGCGGTATGAGCAGTACAAAGGCGCTCCGACAAGCTTGGCACATTTGTTTGACCTAAAACTGGTTGTTCCGCGCGGGCAAAGCCACGTGAATGTTTGACCTTGGGCTGATCTGAGGTGCCACCACAGTGGGCATGGCACGGGCGGCCGGGGCGAGTTACCGTGACCTGGACAACGACTACCAGCACGAATATATGACGAAGGTGCAGCCGGCGCCCGCGGAATGCCCTACGGCGAAGAACAAGGCCAAGGAGGTGCTGGAGCAGGAGCCACAGGAATTGTTGCCTGAGCCCATCGCGGAAAGCGTTGTGACTGAGCCAGCAGCCATGGTCGTGCATGCTAATGCAGCAGGTCGGGGTAGCAAGGCCTTGCGCAAGCCAGAGACTTGCGATCGGGGCATGCAAACGAGCGAGTGCTGGTTTGCCAGTCTGTTGCAAGCCGTGGTGCAACAATCCAGGGCTGCGCGTGCCTAGTGTAGCCCACTTGCGGGTTGTGTTTTCGTTGCCTGGTGCCTGCCTCTGCTGAGCAAGGGTGGAAAGTGTTCAGCGGGGCTGGTGACCGAGCCAGCGCGTGTGGTTTCTGTTTTGGAGGAGAATGCTTGAGGTTTTGTTGGCTGTTTTTCGCAGAGGGGACAGCAGCAACAGGGAGGGAGCTACCGTGTGTTGGCAGAATTTGCTTGTGAGAATAAGAGTCTCTAAGACGATCACGCGCAAAGCCTGTGTGCAGATTTTTTGTGCAAACTTGCAGCGCTTGCATCAGGCACAATTGCGGGACGCATGTTGCACGTTGGCTGGAACAGCTTGTGTCAGCAGTTGCGACGGGGCTTGCGAAGTGTTGCAGAGGCACCGGTGGTCGGTGGCTATGCGTGGCCACTATCGGGGGGCCAGCGCGCACTGTGCCAGTTGCATTAGTGCAGCAGTTGATGCTTGACAAGAAAAAAAAGTGATCAGTCACACGTGCGTGGAGAGGGCATTGCGCGTGGGAAGCTCGTGTTTGCAATGTGTGCATTGTAGAGGGCGCGGCCATTGCTGTCACACGAACTTCTTCTGGAGCATGTTCTTGTGCTGTGCCACCCACCGCAACAGTTGTCTAGCTTGTTCAAAATCTCATCCCCAATGATTAGCGGATTGCGGATTATGCGGTTCACGGACTAGATTATGCGGTTTGCGGATTACGGATTATGGGTTGCATGGATTTCCCATGCTCCAACATGCGGTTTGGACCAGAAGAAGATTACGGATTAAGAAGATTACCCAGAACAAGGATTAAGCGGATTACGGATTGTGATTAGCCCCCCCGGGATTTCGGACAGGCTAGGTTGTTTTCTAGACCGTTGAACTTGAGCTTCATTTCGAATGGTAGTAGACCCGGTCTGGCCAGTTTTGTTGCAGGGCACATGTGGCAATTTAGCGTCGTGTATAAGTGTATGCGCTGCTGTATATGCGAATATGATCGCACATGGTTTGGCATGTTGGCCTGTCAGTGGCTACGCGCTGAGGTATACAAGTATATGCATTGTTATGAAGCCGCAATAGATATACGCGCTGTCGTAAAGTGTCTAAACCTTGGCCTGCAAACATGTGCACGAGTACGCGCTGCGGTATAGAGATACACGCGTCGTCGTACATAAGGGTATGCGCTGCGGTATACATGTATGTGTCGTCGTATTATATAAGTGTACGCGCTGCGGTATACATATATATATATATGTATATGCGTCGTCTATGTAAGTGTATGCGCCGCGGTACACATATATGTGCGTCGCCGTATATAAGTGTCTGCACTGCATGCGCTTCGGTATATATATCTATATATATGTGTCGTCGAACATAAGTGTACGCGCTGCGGTATACAATATATATGCGTCGTCGTACACAAGTGTATGCGCTGCGGTATACATATATGCGTCGTCGTATACAAGTGTATGCGCTCCGGTATACATATATATGCGTCGTCGTATACAAGTGTATGCGCTGCGGTACACATATATGCGTCGTCGTATACAAGCGTATGCGCTGCGGTATACATATATATGCGTCGTCGTACACAAGTGTATGCGCTGCGACATACATATCTATGCGTCGTCGTATACAAGTGTATGCGCTGCGGTATACATATATATGCGTCGTCGTATACAAGTGTATGCGCTGCGGTATTAATATCTATGCGTCGTCGTATACAAGTGTATGCGCTGCGGTATACATATATATGCGTCGTCGTATACAATTGTATGCGCTGCGTGTACAAATATGTGCGCTGTCGTATACAAGTGATCGCGTCGGTATACATATATTATGTCGTATACAAGT